TTACATACTAACTCAAATAAAAAGAGTGTGCTGTAAATAATCCAGTGCTTACTCGACAATTGGGTCGAGGGGAACAAGTATCACAATAAAGAAGCCTGTACTCAAATCTACCTCTGGGTCAAGCTGCTCCTTCTTCTAACAGCTTTGGAATTCACTTTTCACACAATTTGCCTATGTTGACATTCAGGTTCTAGTACAAGATATCTTTGTTTGGGTATTTGTCTGATTAGCTGATGATGGGGGGGGGGATATTTAATTTCTCTCTGGGATACATACAGGATTAAACTTCAATTTGACGTTGGACAGAACACTGGCTTCATTCCCATTTCCACTAAAAAATCAGTGTCAAAATAGTCACACACTTCCAAGAGGGCAGGACAGATTCTCTTATGTATGAGCAGCCTGATATTCAGATGTGCAGGACACTGAGTCAAAAGTCCCATTAGATCAGATTTTCAAAGGACCTTTAGTGATTTTTAGGCACGAAAGTCCCATTAATTTTCCATCAGACCCCTCTTTTTCAAATCATGTCAACATGCCTTGAAAGTGTTTTCTGGGGACATTAATTTATTGTGATAATTATTAATGTCCCTCAGTATTATACAAGGCGGATTTTTTTTAAAAAGAAATAACTTTCACAACATATTAAATCTTTACACTTAAAAAGAAGAAAGCTGCTGTCTAAAATGTATCCCCATGAGTCACCAATGAATCCTGGCTGAACGGACTCTGTAGATTTGTGTGGTCAGGAGTTTTGTTAAAACCTCTACAGAATTTCTGCATTTCAGGTGCTCAAATTCATTCCTTGTCATTTGACTTTCCTGCACATTCTCACCGTGCCTAAGAGTGCTGTCTGCTGGAAGTCACTGACCATGATGTCCTGCACTCCTAACGTGTTTTATCCCTAGGGATTGCACCATGTGCCCCAACAACTGCTGGGATTGTCTTTAGTCTACTTTTCCATAATTGCTCGCCTTCAAGGCAGTGTTCTTCATACTTCTCTCCTTCTTATTTTGATGTTTCTGTCTGCTGGCATGACAATATCAATTAACATGGGCTTGTTTGTTGTCTTTTCTACCACTTTGTCGGACTGCACCATTCGGTCCGTGACAATTGCCAGATGCCATAAAACTTACCCTCTTCATTTTCTAGAGTGCTTTCAGTTTGGTGTTCGTAATAGCACATAGTTTGTGACAAGCATGGATTTGTACAGAGTCTCCAGTGCAGACACTTGGTAACCTCACTGTATCTGTTCATATATTCTCTCCCAGATAGGCTCTAGCAGTTGCTCAATACATGCTCCGCCAGCTCTTCCTTTTTAGAACACATCCTGCGGCTCGGGGAGCAGTTGTCAGTCAATTTTATTTCTTAAATAATTAAGCCCCTTAAAGATTTTTCTTGTCCACTCATAATGATGCTCTGTCTCTTTTTTGAGGGATCCTTCTACAAGTCATGAGTTTGTTATTCTTCTATCACCAATAGGTTTGATCTCTCTCCACCACTGTCCATGCATTGATCTCTGTGTAAATCGTTCAAATCTTTTTTGGCAGTTTGCTTTCTCCTTTCTTTCATGCTTTCTTGGGCTTGGATGCAGCACAGTCATTGCTTGTTATTGTGACTGGATGATCTTTATTCTGGTTGACTCCTCATATATTTTGATATTATAATCTTCATTATCAATTGCTTCCTCCACAGATAGCAGAGGTTTTCCTTCATCACATCATGGGATGAACATCCTGTCCATGACTTGATTGCTATCTAATAATCTGTGCATCACCAACAGCTGTCTTCTTTGGATGTCAATTTTTTCCTTCTCCTCTTGATTCCACTTGATCACTCCAGCAATATTCTGTACTACAGGCATCCCCCACATAATAGTAGCTCAGATCAAATTCTTAGACTTGAGTTTTGTTCATTGAGTAGATCTTATACAACTGTAATATTCTTTCCTCACTTTTTTTCCCGAATTTCTTATGTTGTAGCTCCGACATTTCCCTGATTCCAAGATATTTGTAGAGGTCATGCTGAAATATCCTGGATTGTTCTTTCATTAACTTGTATGTTATCAGATTGTACCAGTCTGGCCATCTTTACAGATGCTGACACACATTTAGCTAAGCCAGCCTGTAGATTTATATCTTCATCAAACTTTTCCACACATCATTGATATCTACAGCTCCTTTTTGTGACTGTTCATGAAATTTCAGATTGCTCATGTCTAACAAATTCTTAAATGGTTGTTGCTCTTTGCTGATATGGTAAATTGTGGTTATCTCAACAAGCATCCATGTCAGTGGCAGCATGGTTACCACAAACAGCACTGGTGCTCAGGAATCCCCTTGAAAGATTTCTTTTTTAATTTGAACCTCACCAATGAGTCCCTTCCAGATAGAGTCGAGTGTTCCAGTTAAACATAGATTGCTGTAGAAAGGAAATGATCTGTGGATGAACCTTGGACATTTTCAGTGTCTCAGTGATCCTTGATTGTGAGACACTGTTGGATGCTCTCTGGTAGTCTACCCATACAATTGCTAACTTTTTTCTTTCTTTGTTTTGAATCTTCTGTGATCCGCCTCTTGAGCCAGAGGTGGCCTTTTGTTCCTTTCATGTTTACTGTGCTGCCTTTTTGGTCAGGAATCAGCATTCCATTGTGAGCTAGCACTATCCAGATCTTCTTTGCCGGAATTATTGTTAGAAGTTTCCATATAGTTGGTAAACACGTAGTCAGTCTATAATTCCTATAATTCATAGGATCACTACAACTTTCTTTCTTTCTTTCTTTCTTTCTTTCTTTCTTTCTTTCTTTCTTTCTTTCTTTCTTTCCCTGTATGAGAAGAGTTGTCCCTGTCACCATCCATCTTGGAAATCCATTCTTCAAACATTTATTAAGTTGTTCAAATAAACAATCATGGAGTGTTGTAATGCATTTCAGCCAGAATCCATGCATCCCATCTGGTCCAGATGATTTCCAATTTTTCATTTATCTCAGTATCTCATTTCTTTCTTTGCTCTTTTTGTGTATTCCTCTGTGGTGTGTTTTGTAAACTTTTCCTCTCATTTTTAATCTGGTTTGCTATCTGCTTATGTTGTACAGTCTCAGACCAGATTTCCTTCCAGAAGCAGTGAAACTCATCTGCTCTCTATTTTTGCCTATTCTGTTTTTTAACATCAATCAGATGAAAGAATCTCCTAGGGTCTCTGGTGAAGTGACTTTTCTCTTTATACTAATAACTTTGTGCTGAAATATTTCAAGTCCATGACTAAGTGATCAGCTTCTCTTTACATTGTTCCTTCATAACTTTCACATCCTTTCATTCCACTGATATTTCATCTCCAAGGCTGTTTGCTGTTCTTTTCTCGACAAATGATTTTTCTCATATTCATCCAGTAGGCTGGTATCTCAACAAAAAAGCATACTCTTCTGTTTTAACCTTCATTTCCATGGAGGTTCTTAGATATAGGAATTTTTCCAATGGTTCATATGTTCATTGGTTTAACATCAAGCCATCTGAGCTGCTACTGTTACTGTAGCATAAATTATATAATTGTACTGGCTAATCCTTGTTGTTTTTTTTTCTCCACTTTCCTTGAGCACTTCATTAAGTTACTTGCATTATATCATCCAGTGTGTGATGGTCTACAAATTTCACAGTTGGTAGCACTGGTGCTCAATGTCTCTTACACTCTGCATGATCTCGATCAACAATTCTTTCATATTTTCTGTACTTTCCTCAGGTGCTCTTTCCCTCCTTCATTTGTCCTCAAATTTTCTTCCATTTCTGGTTTCTGTTTATCCTATGTCACTGCTCCCACCAAAATGTTTGTATGTAGTTCTACATGACTAATCTCCCTTTTCAGGCTTTCAATCTCCATTTGTGTCAATTCTCCTATTTGGAATAAAGCTCTTAGTTGTGCAGTGAATCTATGCTCAGTCATTTCTTTCTCGGTGCTGTCGTTTCTCTCCTTCCAGTGTTGGAGCATTTGTTTGCTCCAGGCTCTCTTCTGGTTTTGCCAAAAGACAACCTCAGATCACTTCTTGGTTTATAAGGCAAGTCATTTTCACTCTGTTGTCACAAATGATCTCTGGTTGTTTTGGACAGTTGCATGATACATGAGGTTGCCCACCTCCACACAAAACACTCTACTGGGGAGGAGGCTGTCATCCAGATAAGGTATTCTGAGGCCCACTTTAGAGGTAATCGATAATATTATGAATGCCATATTCTCCATACTGGTTTGTGTTGACGGGCTATACCCCGTTGGGTGGGAAACCAGAATTTCTAGGCCTCGGTGGTTTCTTCCTCTTCTAGAATTCTAGAGATTTTAATGGGGATCAATCCAATAAGATACTATAGATATTACGTTCTGTAGTTTTTGTAGAGTATATGTAGAATTGGCCAGATCTCATGCTGGTGTGCATCAGCCATAACTCCATAGGCATCAATGGCCCAATTCTCCAGCTGGTGTAAATCAGCTGTAGCTCTATTGAAGTTAAGGGGACAGATTAAAGAGGTATTAGGACAGAGAGAAACAGCAAGAGAGTGACTTTATATCCTGGTGGTTAGGGCACTCAACTCCAGATGCAGGAGGCTGAGTATCCAGTGCCTCTGCTCCAAAGCTTTTTTATTATTTAACCACAGTGGAACAGCTTCAACAGGAGAGAATGAGGGAGCGCTATGTCTGACTGTCCTAGGGTGAACAGATGTCCTGATTTTATAGGGACAGTCCTGATTTTTGGGTCTTTTTTCTTATATAAGCTCCTATTTCCCCACCCCCCACCCCCATCCCAATTTCTCATGCTGTCTGATGACCCTAGATTGTCCCAATATCACAGCTGAGCAGAGTTTTGTCTATTTTGAACACACATTTTATAGGATGTAGTAGGCCTCTCTTTACATTCATCCTACTGATCAGATGATCTCTACAAGCCATTTCAATTTACTTGTGTGTTAATTTCATTTTTTCCAGTCTGACAGGTCAGTTTTCCTGATTAAGGATCAATGGGAAATCAAACCGAAGTGACTGAATTTATTATCCTGGGACTTTCCAATGACCCACAGATGTAGATTTTCCTCTTCTTGATATTTTTAGTTGTCTACCTAATCACGCTTTTGGCAAACATGGTGATCATGCTGGTGATAAGGGCTGATCCTCACCTTCACACCACAATGTACTTCTTCCTGTCTCATTTATCCTTTGTTGATATCTGCTATTCCTCAGCCATTGTCCCTAAGATGTTGGTGCATTTCCTAGCAAAGCACAAAACCATTTCTGTCAATAGTTGCATTGCACAGATGTTCTTCATTTTCCTGCTGGCTACTACTCAAACTTTTATTCTCTCAGCTCTGGCTTATGACTGCTATGTTGCCATCTGTGACCCATTGTGTTACATGGACACAATGAGGAAAGGGATCTGTGTTCAGCTGGTGAGTGGTGCATGGGCAATAGGCTTCTTCCATGCCCTGCTTAACACTGTTTTTGCCCTCAAGTTGCATTTCTGTGGGACCAATCAAATCAGCCATTTCAGCTGTGAGCTCCCTCCTCTGTTACAACTGTCCTGCACTGAGACCCTCACCTTTCAAGTGGTGCTTCTTACTTCTGCTTTCATATTTGGATCAAGCACCTTTGTATTCACCCTGATTTCCTACATTCACATCATCTCCACCATCCTGAGGTTACGCTCTGCGGGGGGCAGGCATAAAGCCGTCTCCACCTGCAGCTCCCACCTTACTGTGGTTGGTTTGTTGTACTTGACAGCTTTTTTCCAGTACACAAAACCCAGCTCAGTCTCCCCTGTGGTTCTGGATGAAATATTCTCCATCCAGTACAGTATCTTGACCCCCATGTTAAACCCCATCATCTACAGCCTGAAAAACAAGGAGGTGAAAACAGCTGTAGGGAAAATGTTGGGGAAATTCAAATTTCTCAAGTAGTGTTGATCTTATTTTTTTAAAAAAGCAAAGAACATAGAACTGTGGATAACTTGTGTTTGGGAGGTTCTCAGCTCAGGTATCTAACACTTTGGCCGAAGCCTCAGCTGGTCGAAATCAGTGTGGCTCCATTGAACTCAGCAGGCCACGTCCCCATTGGGTGGAAGAGACACTGGAGCAAAGGGGACAGGATCCTGGGTCTCCATCAAGGGTGAATACTAGAAGCACCAGGATCTAGAGCCATTCATGCACTCGTGCGCTCGCGCTCTCTCTCTCTCGCTCTCTTTGGGCAAATATCTCTTTCAATCTGACCCACTGACTTCAACGGTGCTCTGGCTAATTTATACCACTAGAGGATCTAGCCAGTTCTATGAAAAGAACATCTTTGTCTATTGCATTCTGTAGTTCTTCTCGAGTATTTTGTTGAAAACCCTATTTAATATCCGTAGTATCTTATAGGACACATCACTATTAATGTCTCTGTCTCCACTAATAACAATAATTAATAATGAGTGTGATCCCCAGCTGGGTCAAGATGCACAAAGGAATTAAGGCTCTATGAGGAGAGATTGAGAGAGAGACATATCAGGTATCCCATATCGCAGTGGTTTCGGCACCCACATGGGAGGAAGCAGATCCCTTTTAAAAATCTTTCTCCTTATCAGGCACTTGAGTAGGGTCTGCTACATCCCTAACTACTAGGGTAAAAGTTGAGGGGTTTCCTCCACCTTATTCCTTCTTCTCCTCTCCCCTCTATCACCATGGTTTCTTGCCACCTTAGGTGGGGTTAGAGCAGGGGTGGGCAAACTTTTTGGCCCAAGGGCCACATCAGCATTGCAAAACTGTATGGAGGGCCTGGTAGGGAACCTGACTGACTCAGGTATCTGACTGACACTTTGGGCCAAATCCTCCACTGGTCTAAATCAGTGTAGATCCATTGAATTCAATTGCCCAGATTCCCAGGGCGTGTAAATCAGTCATAGATCCCCAGCTGAGGCTAGATTCACAAAGGGATTTAGACTTGAACAGGAAAGATTTAGAGAGACCCACATCAAAATATCCCATAATGTGGGTCAAGGCACGCACATGGGAGGGGGCAGATCCCTGTTTCAATCATTTCTCCTCATCAGACACTTGAAGTAGGGGTCCCCCACATCAGAGATGAGTACCATAACCACTGGGATAAAAGTTATGCTGGAGCTCCTCTCCTAATTCCCTCCCCTTGTTGGCATAAAAACAAATGGATATAACTGGCCATGAACAAATTCAGGCTGGAAATTAGAAGGTTTCTCACCATCAGAGGGGTGAGATTCTGGAACAACCTTCCAACAGGAGCTGTAGGGATGCACAACTTAATTAGTTTTAAGAGAGAGCTGGATAAATTTATGAGTACAACTGTAGGATGGTATTTTTTGAGATATTGGGGGGCATGGCTTAGCAGCCCTGGGCCCTCACTTCTGGTTTATGTCTTAGGTTCCTCTTCTTGGGACTCTTCTTGACTCTCACCCAGCACATTTCACTTCAATTTTGACTTTTTTCTTTTTTTTACTCTTTTATTTACTTTCAAATGCTATTTTTTAATTTTATTTTTTTTTAATTTTCCATTTTTGAAAATATTTTTTTTATATTTTTTCTTTTTAATATCTTTATATTTTTATTGCATTTCATATTTTTTGTTTTATAGTGTTTATTTTAATTTTACATTTTGGCTTATTTTACTTACTTTTTTATATTTCATTTCTATTTCTTTTATAATAGTGTTTTATTTCTTTTTATTTTGTTTGATGTATTTGCAAAACTAAATGTCACTGAAAATGACACATCCCAGTAGAAAGTTTTGATTTTGATGAATCCACATTTGTATCAGAAAATTTTCAATCAGCATCCCATTGAGTGCTCTAGTCAAGGTGTGGGCTTCAACTACAATCCCAGTTTATGTATTGCAGTATTATCTCTTATCCAGATTATCCCCAATAATAGCTTTTAATTACCTGCAGTGCGTGCTTGGCCATATAAAGAGACTGAGAATTTCCTCTATGAATGACTCTATGGCCATCTCTCTGGCTGATGACTGCAATGATGATGGGGATGTGAGATGCTTCCAGTAGCCTGATTTCCATTAAAACCAGGCCCACAGAAACCCCTATGTGGTGCTCTAGGCAGAGGAAAAGTCTTTGAGATGCCCTCACCCAAACCCCCAACTTCAGGTCCCTAAATCCCTCACACTCTAGACTGTAACCGAGAGGTCACTGCCTCACCCCTGTATTCAAAGCCTATGTAATCAATACTGAGAAAATCATTCAGTTTTCAGAATGTCACTAAGCAGTTTGAATCAACGATATCCCTTGGCAGAGAAATTCAGAAGTTAATATACGATGATCACAAAGCAGCATAAAAACTGATCTACGTGGTACAGCACAAATGAAATCAAATGATGACCACCTAAAAAGGCTTAGGAGGTTAGGGTTTGGACTGGCACAACCTCATTCATGGCGCACTGGTGTCTGTCAGGGACAATGGAAGCTTCTGAAGTCCAAACCAAGCTGATTTACAGCCAGCAAAATTGTGGGGTGTTTTACCAGCCAAAACGAGGCTGTCAGAATTCAGGGAATCCAGTGCCTACACCTTCATTTGCCAGACTCCTCCTGGTGATCTGGTTTTCTCACTGCACACCACAAGTGTCTGCTCTTTGGAGCAGAATGAAAGGAGCAAGGCTTATTCTTTTGCCAATCAGAAACATTAGGGTTTTTACACAGGTCTGAGCTTGCCTTAGCAGCATGTTTGTGTGTCAGTTTTTCTCATTCACTCTCAGATGTCATAAGCCTCCATTATATGACTCCAAGCCCCCATTCTGTGTGCTCAGCCTAGTATTTGGGCGTGTGACCTGAAGGAGAGGGAGCATTTGAACATTAATGCATTTAAATTGACAATGTGATATTGACATTTAACAAATGCCGTTCTTGTTCTATTGTAGAGTTTCGTTCATTTCCGCCATGGCAGACACGGAACAGGGAAATCAAACCTCCCTCACAGAATTCATCCTCCTGGGATTTGGGAATATCCCCAAACTGCAGATCCTTCTCTTTCTGCTGATCCTTGTGATTTACATTGTGACCATGGCTGGGAACATCCTCATAATGGTGCTAGTTGTGACTGATCAGCACCTTCATACCCCCATGTACTTCTTCCTGGGGAACTTGTCCTGCCTGGAGACCTGCTACACCTCCGCCCTCCTGCCCAGGATGCTGGCCAGTTTCCTGACTGGGGACAGAACCATTTCTGTGGGGGGCTGCATCACACAATTTTACTTTGTTGGCTTCTTTGCAGCCACCGAGTGTTATCTCCTAGCAATGATGTCTTATGATCGGTACCTAGCGATATGCAAACCACTGCATTATGCAACTCTTATGAATGGCAGTTTCTGCCTCCAGTTAGCAGCTGGGTCTTGGATAAATGGGTTACTGGCTAGTTCCATAGTAATGGGTATGATTTTACAATTGACTTTGTGCGGTCCCAATGAAATCGATCATTTCTTCTGTGAATTTACAGAAATAATAAATCTCTACTGCAATGACATCTACCACCTGGAACTTTTAATTACTATTCTGTCTGCTTTATTCACCTTGCCCCCGTTTGCTTTAACTGGGATATCCTACGTGTGTATCATCTCCACCATCCTGAGAATCCCTTCCACCTCCGGGAGGCAAAAGGCCTTTTCTACCTGCTCCTCTCACCTCATTGTGGTGACAATTTTCTATGGGACCCTGATCATTGTGTATCTGCTACCAAAAAGCAACACACTCAGAGACCTCAACAAAGTGTTCTCTGTCTTCTACACAGTTCTGACTCCTATGGCCAATCCCTTCATATACAGCCTGAGAAACAAAGAGGTGAAAGAGGCTCTGAGAAAAAAATGCCAGTAAATGTGTTGATTAATATCTCATGATTTTTAAGCCATTCTCATCATTTTTTCCAGACCTGTCTCATTAAGTTTTGTGATACAGCATGGCCAGAAGGCAGCAGGAGAGTGATCTAGGAGAGATATGTAAGTCCCAGGATGAGGAGAAGCCTTATTCCCTATAGAGGGAAGAAAGGTTTCTATAGATTAATTACAAGCACCTGACGCCAATTAGAGCACCTGAAGCTAGTCACCTGATAAAAAAACCCCTGCTTCAATCAGCCAGAGAAAGGAGTTGGAACAGAGTGCAGTTTGGAGGAGTTGAAGTAGAGGAGAGTTTGGAGAAGTGTCATGGCTGGCTAGAAGACCAAGACCCTAGGTAAAGAGACACCCAGCTTGTGCAAAGAGAGGGGGCAGGAAGCCCCACAAGCTGAAGAGCAGGAGAGGGAAGTAGCCCAGGGGAAGGAAGCACAAGTTCAAGTGGTTTACCACTACCCCTGGGCTGGGACCCGGAGTAGAGGGCGGGCCTGGGTTCCTCCCTCTCCACTACCCTTCTCTGGGTTACTAGTGGGACAGTAGATACCCTAGTTCAGGGGCAGGAAACTGCACCCTGAACCCCACCCCCAAGAAGAGGAAGTGCGGGACCCATCACAATTGTACCAGCAATTTGCCACAGTTTGCACATTTGGGGTTGAGTTTATGGGCTTGTTTTTGGGTCAGTCTACCCTTCAATCATGGGATGTGATTTCAGCTGGTGTAGACAGTCTCCAGCGAGCTTTATTCTAGCGACCAAGTACTGGAGCATTAGCGCTGCGGCAGGGCTCGCTTCAGCTGTGACTAGCCATGCAAGTAAGTTCACTGGGTTCCAGCTGGGCTGCTACAGCCCAGCCTGAAGCACACACTGCTGCAGCTCCATTGCTCGGGTATCTGAGCTGGCTAGATTTAAGCTGACTCACGTGTGTCTACACGAGCTGCAGTCACACCCCGTCATGGTCGTGCAAACATCCCCCTCACTGCAGCGTTAGCTCGAGACCCAACTTGAGTTTAACTCAAGCTGTGGCTTTTGTCATTTTTATATATAATTGTAAAACCCAACAATTATGTT